GCCTTGACCAGTAGCTCCCCGCACCATCTTTCCACACCGTCAAGGTTCGCTCAGCAGGCGGCGCTCCTGAGCCCCTGAAAAGAAGGCGGATGTGGCGCAAGGAAGATCAAGCCTGCTGCTGAAAACCTGCAATACACAGGCAGAGAGATACCCACCCAGAAGACACATGGGAATCCTGCGAGCCAATGGGCAGCTGGGGACCCCCGGCCGGGGGTGAGGGCAGCCAAGGGATGTCAAGCTAGGGACGAGCACAGAAGGAGCAAACGGGCGAGTGCTGGGACGCAGCTGCACACAAGCTTGGCACAGCTTTGTTGAACAAAATGCTTTGAAAAATTATAAAAGTAATGGAGTGACTACAGAAATTTCAAGTAGTAATATAACTGCATTCAGGAAAAACTAACTGATCCCTTTATGCCAGTCCACAGAAGGCACCACTCAATCCACATGTACCCACCATCACCAATTACTGATGTGTCCGGAAGAGCATCTGCATGGGGCAGTGGTCGAATCCAAGCAGGGAAGCCAAGCCCAGCATCTTGCGAAGGCGCGTGAGCAGACCGGTCTGAACACTGTGCATGGGGATCACTGGAGGGAAGGCAGCAGGCACACGGAGCTACTCAGAGAGGTCTTGGGAACAGAAGGCATTATGTGTTTGACAGCAAAAGCCTGACACGAGGGAAGGCTGCATGGCTGCGTGTAAGTGTGCCCGGTCACACCGGGCACGGAGATTCTCACGAAAGGCTCGATGAAACACAGAAGCTCCGGTGACGGTGACCGCGTGGTGACAGAGGAACGTGTACTGGCTGTGACGCAGGGCCGTGCCATCACAGCGGCATCACTGACACTTATCTAGAGACAGGAAGGCGGCGGGAGTGTGGAGAAGGATGGAAAGCCAACCTGCGATCCGCGGAGTCTGAGGGGAGATAAGTGATCTGTGTTCTCAACTTCCCATGTTTATAAAAACCACTTTCACCGTTTTCGCTACTTTTTCACCATCCTTTAGGTTCTTACCTGGCTAATGATGTGTCATAATTACTAAATTGGTCTAGTTTGTTTAGAGTAAGTTAGTATCTTGACTAAACAACAAAAAGAAAAATGCCTATGTAACTAAAGCTTTAAATAAGCAAGCTTGTTTTCCGAAGTCTAGCCGTGGCTTATACTTTGTCAAATACCATAAATCTGCGGGCGCATTTAGGCTTTCTTCTCCTGAGGTCACTGTATCAGGGGATGTTTATATCTGTCCCCCGGACAGCTTCAGCTGAGCCCCCTAAGAGTCACCACCACAAAAAGTGTACAGAAAATTTAAAACATTGGTGGAGGAGGGCCTCACATCCTCACATTCACCCTAGTTTATCAAACTTTAGTTACATAGGCATTTTTCTTTTTGTTGTTTAGTCAAGATACTAACTTACTCTAACCAAACTATACCAATTTAGTAATTATGACATGTCATTAGCCATGTAAGAACCTAAAGGATGGTGAAAAAGTAGCCAAAACGATGAAAGTGGTTTTTTTAAAAGTGGGAAGTTGAGAATATGGATCATTCACCTCAAGTCCTAAAAGTAAGTCAAAGGGAAAGATTTATAAAATGCAATGGTTCTCAATTGTGGGGTGCAACCTTTTAGATTTTCAAAATGGAGAAATGTCCAGCCCCAGCCCAGCATTTCTTTTTGTTTTTTATTTTATTTATATATATATATTTTTTGAGACTGAGTCTTGTTCTGTCACCCAGGCTTGAGTGTAGTGGCGTGATTTTGGCTCACTGCAACCTCAGCCTTCTGGGTTCAAGCAATTCTCCTGTCCCAACCTTCCAAGTAGCTGGGATTGCAGGAGCCTGCCACCACACCCGGCTAATTTTTTGTATTTTTGGTAGAGATGGGGTTTCGCCATGTTGGCCAGGCTGGCCTCAAACTTCTGACCTCAGGTGATCCACCTGCCTCGGCCTCCCAAAGTGCTGGGATGACAGGCATGAGCCACCACGCCCGGCCCCGGTCCAGCATTTCTGTAATAGGGGTGCTAGTGTGCATACATAAAAAGTTAAGTATTTTAAAAAAGAAGGAAACCCCTAGACGTCTACCTGATGTACAGACAAGTTTAAAAACCCCTTGCTTATGTGTGTATCTTTCCTTCCCAGGAAAGTGGTTCCCACATCTGCACACAGACATGAGATTTGCCTTCAGGACACGAGATCTAGTCCCATGATCCTGGAAGCCTGTGCCTCGTCAGGACACGGTCACAGCGAACACTCACGGAAAAAAGATGAATGACATTACTGGTTGTTTCCTGAGCCATAAAGTGGTAGAATTCTTCTGCCTCTAGAAGCCTAGACAAGAGACTCCTGCTTTGAGGCAATTTTAAAGTAAAAGTCGCTTGCCACCTTTGGTCAGCTCTGCAGACAGCATAGCTCCTCCTCAATTATCAACACACATTTATTCTGTTCTGTCTTCTTTGGGCTACAAATCGGTTCTAGTTATTACTCATAAGGCAATTTTCCAAACATTCTAAACTCATAGGTGTATATTCTGACTTCTTACTTAATTTTAATCAGCAAAATGACGATGCCCTTCCCAGCGCTGGAAATGCCGTACTATGCATGATCAGGTGCACACGCCAGCTCTGCTTCCTCATGGTGGCCACAGTCTGTCCCTATTCTCACCTTTCCACGGTAAGGACCTGAGTCTCTGCTGCAAGATGTATTATCACCAGAGAAAGAGGCTCTCTCATGCCCCTCTACTCTTCTTCCTGTCTCTTCTCCACGTGCCTCCCTGTCTGTCTGGCCCACCTGCTGATCAGCAAGAGGGGTTTTAGGCTCATATTTCCACTGTCTGTGGAATTAGAATTGAGCACCTTTCATATCCATACATTCAGAAATTGAACGACTATCCTAACACTTTCTAAGATACAAATTTTAGTTTTTTAACCTATGAATTTGCTTTGTCTTTGTTTAGAATCTTAATTTTCTACTCGTTCAATAGTCATGGAACCTACACTCACTCTGCATCTTCTTTTGTTTAAATAGCTTTGTGGAGACACTATTCACCCACTTAAAATGTACAATTTAATTGATTTTAGCATATTCACAGAGTTGTGTAACCAACATGATAATCTATTTTAAAACATTTTCATCCCCCTAAGAAAAACCTTCTACTTGCTAAAGGTCACTCCTCAGCCCTTGACCTTTTACCTGCTGGGGATCACTCCACAACCCCTGACCTTGTACCTGCCAGGGATCACTCCTCCCCTGATCTTCCATCTGCCGGAGATCATTCCTCTCATGACCTTCTACCTGCCGGGGATCACTCCTCCCCTGACCTTCTACCTGCCGGGGATCACTCCTCCACCCCTGACTTTCTACCTGCCGGGGATCACTCCTCCACCCCTGACTTTCTACCTGCCGGGGATCACTCCTCCACCCCTGACCTTCTACCTGCCGGGGATCACTCCTCCACCCCTGACCTTCTACCTGCCGGGGATCACTCCTCCCCTGACCTTCTACCTGCCGGGGATCACTCCTCCCCTGACCTTCTACCTGCCGGGGATCACTCCTCCCCTGACCTTCTACCTGCCAGGAATCACTCCTCAGACCCTGGCACGTGCTGCTCTGATGTCTCCATGGGTCTGTCTGCTCTGGACGTGTCATGGCAATGAAATCACATAGGTCTGCTGGTTGCCTTCTGCACCTGCCTTCTTTCACTGAGCAAAAGGTTTCAAAAGTGCTTCAACGCCGTCACAGACACGGCTCCTTCCTGCCATTTGTGACTGGATGATGCTCCATGTGTGCGAACAGACCCCATTTTATTGATTGATTGATAGCTGATAGACATTTGGGCTGCCTGCACTTCCCGGCTCTAACACTGCTGTGAACATTAACATACGGGTCTTTGTTCTCATGTCTTTCGGGTGTACACCAAGGAGTGGAATTGTGGGGCATATGGTAATTCCATGTTTAATTGTTTCAGGAACACCCAGACTGTTCTCTAGAGTGGCTGCGCACTGTTCCAATCCCACTCGCAGTGCACGAAGGTTCCAATTCCTCTGCGTCCTCTCAGCACCTGCTATGGTCTGTCTTTTTGATTCCTGTTATCCTGGTGGGTGTGAAGTTGCGTCTTGTCTCTCGGCTGAGATTCTATTCCATTATGGGGGGGACGATGGCGCTCTTTTGTAATAAACTCATCAACCAGAACCACCAGACTCCTCTCTTAAAAACATTAGATCTGATTTTTCTTTTTATTTTCACTGAAGGTACCCCCACCACCAATTATTTATGTATATGACACAGTTTTACAAAGTATCGGAAGATACTAGTTTGTTTACAGTGCTTCTGTGGTTGGCTTGATTACGGAACTATCTCAAGAACCTTGAAGGGACAAAGTGTATATAAAACTGTATATAAAATATACTAAGACATTAATTAAACAAATTTGATAATGATTTTACTTATCTAAAAATCAAAGAATGATGTAAAGTTAGAAATAACTAATTTACCATGTTTAAGATCTTACCATTTCTGTAGGTTTTGGAAATTTACATTCCGATTTTCTTTTGAAATAAATGCCCTGTATCGAAAATCTGGCAAAATATGTGTAAATTTAATATGGAAACCTGATGATTCAATTTGGACACGGAATCCAAAAAACTGGATGATGTAGCCATCCCAGTCCCAAACTTCAACAGTTTTATAACATGCAGCTTTGACACAAATTAGTTTATGGAATCAGTAAACCTCGCTGGCATTTCTCATGCTGTTCCCTGTGACCAGCCCTGGGTGTTCTGGGATGTGCCGAGACGCGCCGGCCGCAGGTCTGCATCTGCAAGGCCCAGGCTACGTCAGAGGCTACATGCTGGAATGAGTTGGGCAGTTTTCAACCTACAGCTAAAACATACATTAAAGCTACGGTAAACTGCTCCTCTATATTCCCCACCCCAGAAAGAATGAATCCTCATGACTTTTGAGTCCAAATGGAATGCACAAGCTCCCACGGTTTTGTGCTCTGACTGACCTCATCGGGGCTGGAAGCCTGGTAGGTGCGGTTCTCATCACTGAAGTCTTGGTCAGCCTCTGCGAACTCAGTCTCCCCAGTAACGCCGGCCCGAGACTCATACACAGGGGTCACGTTGTGACACAGCACGATGGCTTTCACGGCTTCATGGATGCGACTGCTGACACTTTTCCTAACTTTGGGAGCTGAAGATTGGGCTTTTCTTGGTGGAGTTGAACCAGTATTGTTTCCACCAGCTTGAGACTGCATCTTTAGAATATGAAACGTCACGTAATTAAAGATAGAGCAAAGAGATCTCGTTAACATGGAATTATTAACATCTATGATTTTTAGAAGTGAAGTAGCTAGAAATAAGTAGCCTCGTTTGATTCTGATTATCTCCAAGAAAGCACTGATTAATGAGTTATATTTTTAAGCCTAGTACTATGAAGCGCTTTGATACATCCAGGTTGTCAAATACACCAAAATATTCACTATACTACTCAAAAATCTGATAACTTGTTTTGACTGTATTCATTTCAACAACGGCAATGATTTGCTACGTCATTAACCCCTATTTATTCATGACTTCTAAAAGCAGAGTCAGTTAAAGAACAAAATGAAATGGTATACTTACAACTGCTTTCAGCTTTCTTTAAATAGTGTTGTACATAAAATTGTATAAAGCTAAAAGCAGGACAATATTTTTAAGAATCTTCCCTTAATACCATAAATTAATCCTGCTTTCAGTAGTCTCAGTTTAGACAGTCCAGTTTTGTGGATAATAACAACCAAATACAATCCTAAGTTGCATTCAGAGGAAAAACGACCCCGTGTCTTATCTCGGAATCCTGCTCTCTCAAAGCAAGTCCTCATTTAGGGCTTATGTCTGTCCCTGGCTCTCCTCAGCCTCAGCCATGTTTAAGAGGTTTCACGGCACCACCGAAGTGATAACTTTTTATTATTCACCTCCTATGTGGTGGAGGGTGTCAGAGGGCACTCCCCCTGACCCGAACAGGGCGTCAAACGTTTCTTCAGTTAACTTCGGAGTAACTCATGACAATCCTCCTTAGAAACCAAGACTCTCACGTTTGGACGGAGTGCACAGATCCAATGAACTGTGAATCTCCTGCCCATCAAATTACAGTGGTGCCGAATGAAGGGTTTAACTTTCTGCTCAGCTGGTGCTGCCTTTCAGTGAGGACCCAGCCCATCTGCGCCTGCTCACGCTACTGCGGGACAGCAAACTCAGCTGGCTCCCTCCTTCCAAACTATGTGATGTTTGCTGATGCCTGTACAATTTAATTTCACACAAATTCCATGAAAGATTATGCCCTCTATCACCAAATGCCTCCAGTGGGGAAATATAATCAGGTTATAAGAGATTTGTGTTGCACGGCAGTGGACCTACTAGACTCCTGTCGTCTTAGTAATAAAACAGAATACCAATAGAGAATCAGACCAATTTCACATAAGAAGTACTGTCTCTTCAGCTAACAGAAGCTTTCAGCAAAAATGATTTTTAAAAGTTCTCTTAGGTGGAAGCACAATATTTACTGTGTTTATATAATGATGCTTCATCTTTTCTGCTTTTAATTTTTCCTAATAACTTATTTGAAGCTATTAAAATTACATTCACAGATAATAATTTTTAAAAAGCAGATCTCATCTGGTACTATTTCAATGTAGAAATAGATTCCTGGGAGAAACTGTACTCCTTCTCCTTTAAAGATTTTTCTTCTATTAATAAATATCCTAGGTTACAAATATTCTGTATCTAAATGAATTACATCCAAAATAATAATGTGTTTGGCTGTGTATACATATGTTTGTTTGCTTATGTGTGTGGATAAACATTCCATATGCTAAATATATACACATATGAGACTTCTTCCATTTGACAGCATGCCAACAGTAAAGCTTATGCCAGACTGCTAGCAAGCATACAAGAAAGAGAAGGTTTTCAAAAACCTGAATACAATGCTGACCACTGCATGCTACTCTGGAGTTGTCAAGAGTGGAAACGCTGCAATGGGAAAGTGTCATTTAGTCTAGTCTCTGCAAAAATCAAGTTTGAAACAAATTACTGTTTGTTTCAAAAAGTCTCCTAGACTCCACAGCTGACATCGCTGAGTGGCCTCTGCAAGTCTGGGCAGTAGTGCCGTCAACGCTGGGAACTGTCACCCCCCAAGGCGAGCTGTGTACACTTTTGAACCTGATAGGCCTTAGCTCGTTATTATGTGTATTACCGTATTCAAAATAAATCAACAAACAAGCAGAAAAAGGGCCTCAGGAGGTGTAAATTCCAGACGCACACTGCAGCCTTGTCTGCTGGTCTCTTAAATTGATTCTCTCAGATCTCCAGGTTTGATGACACTGAATCAGTGACTTCTAATTATGACAGGCACAAAAAAAAGAATGCAAATGAATGACAAGGAAACACTCCTCGGGGCCAGGGCTGTGCTCCACGTGGTGGCTCTGAGGTGCCTACTGCCGGAACGCGGCTGTTAGGATGACTTGGGGCCCTGGACAGACTCTGTACACAACCCACTGCCTATAAAATCTCCGGCAAGTGCTACAGCCTCTAGGCTAAATCCTGCTTTAAAAGCAAATACAGGCTGAGTATCCCTGATCCAAAAATCTAAAATCGGAAATGTTCCAAAACTCAAAGCTTTGTGAACGCCATTGATGCTCAAAGGGATGTTCGGATAAGGGATGTTCAACCAGTAAGGATAATGCAAATATTCCAAATCTGAAAAAAAATCCAGAATCCAAAACACTTCTGGTCCTAAGCATTTTAAATAAGGGATACTCAACCTCTAATTCCTGTTCTCAGAACTTCAGAGAGCTTTGGCCCCAATGAAAGGCAGAGTCCTTATCTATTAGGGGCACATAATAAATATTTACAGGTGAAAGAATGTGGTATTTGAGCTCCATGTCGTAATATAATAATAATGAAGAACACCTACAGATGAAACATCACCACCTGGGCACTGATGACAGGAAGGTGAGTGACAGATATGAGGTTCCCAACACTACGGTGTCTACTTTTGTCCACTGAAAAGGCAAAAAAAAGAATTTACCTTTAAAAATATGAGAATGTTTTATTATAGAGAAAAACAGGACTGTTAGAAAACACATTGATGTAGTATCCTACTGAATATTCTTCAAATACAATGTTTACTGAATAATTTTTTTACAAATAACTCACTAGTAAAATGTAATATGAATAAACGACTTAAGCACACTATGCCTTCTACGATTTCACTCATGTAGAAATGCTCATCAAAGACGATTTCCTGATTCGTATATTCGAACGGATGACTGAAGTAGCAGGATGTTAAGACCACCGAGAAGTGTGCTAATTCACAGATGGGAACACACGAGGCTGGGGTGGACTCATGGCACGGGATGTGTGTGGAAGCAGATCCCATACAGGAGGAACCCACTTACCTGTGAGTAGGAGTCCCTGACATGGCTCTGGATCTCATCCATTGTGTCGGCTCCATAGGACACGGTGCCCAGGTGGAGCCGCTTAAATACCATTTCATTCTGGGTGAGGGTTCCTAGGATAAAGCGGACAACAGCAAACACATTAATGCAGGAGGCCTCGGGGAAGGCCCAGCTTTCCTACTGCACACACTGCACACCCATGTGCTGAAGCAGCTGGGATGCCCGACGGTATAATACAAAGTAGCATTAAGATTGTTACTTGCTACTATTTTCATTTTAACAGGAAGAACAAGATATTTTCTCCCTAGCATGTCAAGGTACTCTTACAACATTTTTGTGGGTTTTTTTTCTTTTTTTTTTTTTTTTTTGAGACTGGGTCTCACTGTGTTGTCCAGGCTTGAGTGCAGTGGCATTACCACAGCTCACTGCAGCCTCCACCTCCTGGGCTCAACTGATCCTCCTGCCTCAGCCTCCCGAATAGCTGGGACTACAGGTGCACGACACCACACCCAGCTAATGTTTTTGTTTTTTGTAGAGGCAGGGACTCCCTACGTTGCCCAGCCTGGTCTCAAACGATCCTTCTTCTGTCTTGGCCTCCCAAAGTGTTGTGATTACAGACGTGGGCCACTGTGCACCCAGCCTCTAACAACGTTTAATAATGGGAAGGACTCCAGTTATACGAAGAAAGTCCAGTCATTACCTTTCAGCTCAGAGCTGTTATTTGGAACAAATGCAACTTTTGCCTGTTCTGAAAGAGGCAGGCATAAAACTAGAAAACTGAGTCACCACCTTTATAATTACAATATAGAACACTGCCTGAAAAAGACATCAACGTGCCCCAAATGAGGGTGTCCATTAATTTTTTTAAAAAATCTACTTCAAAAAATTAGGTCTTTTTAGCTGAACAGAAACGGATATTTCAGATGTGTTTAATCCTTAGCATCTATGTGCATCCCTTGGAATGACAGACAGGAGGTCTGTGAAACAGACGGCTTTTCTTTAGTATTTTCCAAATACTGGGTTATCTGAATGTGCCTCCCCAATGCCTGCTCCTCAGTGGACCAAGGCAGAAGGACCACAGTGCTTACTTAGGAGGACTGCCAGAAAAGTTGGGCCATGTATTAGGTGACAAAGAGATCTCACTTAACCTAAAAATACACATATTATATATGCATGTTTTATTTATTTGGCTTTATAGAAGCAAAGTAGCACAGGGAAGCTCAAATACCCTCTGGATATGTATGTGGCGAGCTGCCATGCGTGGTGCTTCCACCTTGCCCCAGAGGTGGGCAGGGTGGTGTCTGCACTTAGATCACAATGTGCTGTGATGCTGCGTGGTGCTTTTCACCTTGTCCCTTGTCCTACGGAGAGTGGATTCTGCATTTATTTCACAACATGCTGCAATGTGGTGCTTTCACCTTGTCCCTTGTCCTGGGAGCAGGGCGGGGGTTCTGTACTTATTTCACAGCACATCCAAGAAGGGTTATCCACGGAGACTGACGACATTATAAATCTGAGTATGAACAATGACACAGCCAATCGATTGCAATAAAAGTTGGACTTTCCACATGGTTGCAAAACATCCATTAAAATATTCACTCATTTTTATGTTCTTTGGCATGCGTGGTACTGGAATATAACCCAAACCATTTTCCTGTCTATGGTACCCTCTAATGGCATGAGGATTAGAGCACAGAGTTAATCCCAAGACATCAGTTAGAATCACAGTACAACAGGTCACCTGGCTCAGAGCCTTCCATCAGGACACAGCACTTACTTTAAAAGAGAAGGAAAATACAGCTTACAATTACTATTTTTAGAGATTGTTTTGATAAATTCTCTTGAGAGATATAATAAAGTTTTAGAAATTCCAAATAGCAGCTAACTATCTACCTGAGATACCTGTCAGTTTTATAGATTTTGCCTTCCACAACGTTTTATGAAGCACCTTTAAACTGGCTGTGCTCTGTGTACCTTGAAAAAATGTCTCCAAGTTTCATAAATCTAAGTGGAAACAAAATCATCAAAATTACATGACAGGTAGTTTAAACCTTTTTATTTTGTCACGCTACCCTTGTTAAATAAGTATAATTAAAATACTAGGCTATATTAAATAATGCAGTTAGCAGCAATTTGGTCTCCGAATAACATAATGAAGTTCTACAAGTGCTTTATATTTTTGTTTGTTTGTTTTCTGAGACAAAGTCTCACTCTGTTGCCCAGGCTGGAATGCAGTGGCATGATCTCGGCTCACTGCAACCTCTGCCTCCCGGGGTTCAAGTGATTCTCCTGCCTCAGTCTCCCTAGTAGCTGGGATTACAGACGTGCGCCACCACGCCCGGCTAAATTTTGTATTTTTAGTAGAGCCGGGGTTTCACCATGTTGGCCAGGCTGGTCTGGAACTCCTGACCTCAGGTCATCTGTCCGCCTTGGCCTCCCAAACTGCTGGGATAACAGGCATGAGTCACCACACCTGGCCTATGAGTGCTTTAAATAGCAAAAATGTGAGATGAAAAATGATAGTTATATCATTGCCAACAGTTAAAAGATAATGAAACCTTCCATTAATTCATATTAGGGTAACTACAAAGTTTACCTCTATTATGTGTGCCTAAGTAAGCAGCTCTCTGAAAAATTATTTAACAAATGTGCTAAATTAAAAACATGTTATATAGCAGATTGAGATAACAAAAGTATTTCCTTTAGACTTTTTTTTCTTACACTGAGTGTGAAGCATGATAATTTAGGATGGGGAATCGTAATGAGGCATAAATCCTATGCAATTTGTAAACAGGACTATGATTAACGCCACTTTTTAAAATCCAACCTTTTTATTACGAACCATTGCATATGTAAAGTTAAAAGAATATTATAATGAACACCTGTATAGCTCTTACCAAGAATGAACAATTATTTCTTTAGGATTTTAAACGACTTTATCCAAGTACACAAAGAACCCTAAAGAAAAAAATAGCATTTCATTTTCCATCCAGTCCTCGCTCGGCATGTTTGTTGGGCAGCTGTGACAGGCTCTGGGTGTGGAGTCAGCTGCAAGTGCAGAAGTTCCACTGGGATGTGAGGTGCTGTTGTCCACGGCCTCCCAGCCCCTGGCTCAAGTCTCAGTGTCCTCACAAACAGGTTTGTGTCCTCACTGCAACCACATGCAACCCACAGCCCAACCTCGCTCTCCCTCAACAGCCTACACCTCTCTGTCCCTCAGCACCCGCTGAGACATCCGAAAGAAGCCTGTCTGGCCCCTCTGGCCTCTCCCGACAGGCACCTTCCCCGAGAAGGGCAAGGCCTCCCACTCAGCCTCCTCACTGTGCAAGCACTGCAGGGTGGTCCAAGGATGACATGAGGGCACCCAGGTGACACGCCTGACCCAATCAGTCCTGGATAAATGGGAGCTGCTCTTCCGCAGCCACCATCACCACCACCATCCTTTCCTCACTTTCTGGATTCAACCACCTCCCAAACGTTCTCATCCTCTTAATCCCACCTCAGACACGGAGTGAGCTCCTCCTGAAGCGCCTTCGCTCTGCCCTCTCCCCACGCGTCCTGACTGCCGCCTCTTCCGTGGCTTCCTGAGCTCAGCTCCAACATTCTTTAACCTATCTTCCCAGCAATGCTATTTCGGAAGACAAACACCTCCTCATTCTAGTGCACTGCTTTTAGTGACCACCCGTGCCTTGCCACTGCTTACAAATCTACGCATCCACTCCTAAGACGGAGACAAGGCTCTGCACAGCCCGGCCTACAGCTGCTCCTCGTGGCCCAGCACAGGGCTCCGGAGAGCTGCCCGTGTGCAGCAGGAGCTACAGTGCTCCAGACAGTGATTCCCACATTCCCATAAATATCAACTTAACTGAGAATTTGTGTATTCTCATGAAAAGGCATCACTACCCATTGAGCTTGGGAGTAGATAACCCTGGGTCCAAATCCTGCTGTAACCTGCAGGCCTCAGAACTTCATAAGAGTTGATTTAAGCTCTCCAAGCCTCAGTTTATTCACCTGTAAAATATGGAATACACCTCATATGTTGCATGGATACTGCAAAAAATGATAAGACAAGGCACAAAGTGCCCCAAACACAAAGAGGGTGAGGGCGCCTTTCCTAAAGCACCCCACAGCATAATGGGGAGAGAGACTGCAAGAGATCACGCTACTGAGAGGCACTAATGCAGGGTCTGCGAGGTGCAGTCACAGGAGACCGCAGAGGGGGGCAGGGACTGCTCCCAGGAGTGGTGGCATCTGACCTGTGGCTTGAAGGATATGAATTTACTAACGGTTTCCACAGGAGAAGCGCTCCAGGAAGAGGGAGCTGTATGTTCTTGGCTCGCACATGGGTCTGGGAGCAAAGACAAATGCCTGTGAATGGAAAAGACACACTCAGGAGAAGGGGCTGGAGAGGGAGGAGTGGGCTAGGAGCTCTCTAGGTCCCATTAGGGGAGCACCGTAAAGCAGAGTCTCCCGTCCACCAAGAGGGCATACAGAGCCAGGCTCAGGAGTCCTGGCTTCATTCTGGATGGACCCCATCCAGGTAACAGAGTTAACTGAGGCATTATTCTAAGGACAGAGTGGCGGGGGTCAAATGTAGGGGAGAGAGCTGGTATCGAAGTCTAAGTGAAGGATGATGTGGCAGCAGGCATCAAGATAGAAAGGAAGAGGCAAATGCATGAAATCTTCAGAAGTCTAGAAAAGAGCATCGACTGGGCTTGGGAACCGAATGTGGAGCTCTGGATCCGAGACCTCGAAGAGCGGCTCAGGCTGACTGCCTTGCTCAGCGAGGCCGGCCCTCAACAAGAAACAGGAATTAAGAAAGTAGACAGCTTTGGGAGAAGGGGAGAAGACACAGGTGGTGAGTATGAAGTGGCTATGGGACAGCCACTCTGCCTCTTGCGAAGGAGGAACGTCTTTCCTCATACAGATGTTCTGTTCCCATATCCTCTTTGGTGCAACGCCATTTTCTAGGTTCTGTGTCCATTGAAATATCCCCCAATACCACACAGTCTTGAGGACTGCAGCTTATTTAAGTCTTCAAATCTGGTAATGAGTCCTCCAACTTTCTTCTTTGTCAAAATCACTTTAGCTATCCTGCTCCTTTGCCTTAAAA